GAGTTTTATTACTCCGATTTCCTGCGGGCTGCCGAGAGGAGTTCCCCGTTCCCAGGAGCGGCGTCTGCACCTTCTTTAATTGCTGATTAACATCTCAGGCTGGAGGCGGCCCTGGAGTTGGAGGCAGGTGCCGGGTGAGCTGTTGGGAGCACTGGGCACAGAGCCAGCTCCTGTTTCCTGACTCTCCTGGACCAAGGAATATCGAATTCCTGACACCCCCCTGCATGACGACGATGCTTAAGGACTTGCCCAAGCGAGAGATCAGCTGGAAGAGGAGAAAACCACCTGTCATTCCTATGCAGAGCTCTCTCCACACACTTTTATGCTGACTGAGATCCTGGGAAACCTGGGGGTGTCCTGGAAGTTGAACAAACGTCCTTTGGAGTGAAGTTCCTGCGCGATGCGAGTGGAGGAGCATCTTTGGGTCACCTTTGTTGGTAGACAAGTTGTATATTTGGCTTGGAGCCACCTGGTCTGGTGGAAAGTGTCCCTGCCCATGGCAAAGGGGTTGGAATGGGATGATCTTTATGGTTCCCTCCCACCCAAAACATTCTGTGATAAAGCAAGTCAGGCTTAGACAGCACTAGGAAATTCTGCTCTAGGGAAGGGAACCAGCTCCACATGGGAATGACAGAAAGGAGACAGAGAGAAGCAGGAGAGGCAACTGAGTTCATTCTTCAGCCCCTTGGAGACACCAAGGTTGATGCTGAGGACACTGTTCTTCTATGTTTTGGTGCATTTTGGTTGTGGTGCTGAAGCTGCTGATTCTGGAGGCAGTTCTCCAGCTCTTCACCACATGTCAGGTGCCAGGAACCCTTTCTGATCCTACCCAAAACCCTCTTTGCTGCTGTGTGAACCCTGAGTCAAAAAGTGGGGAGAATGGAGCAACCCCTTGGAGAAGAGCCTGGAAGGATCCCATCCCATCACTCACCAGTTTAACTTCCCAAACACAAAGGATTGCAGACTTCCAACAAGTTCCAACAATTTCCACAATTTCCCCCTAAGTCTGACACGTGTTAAACCTGTGATCTGACACCTCTTCTTTTCCTGTCAGGGAGATTTCCTCATCCCCTCTTTGTGCATGTGATGGGTCCACATTAACTGCAGAGCTTTGTGCTTGTCCTTCCTGAATTACCCCCTCCTTTATCTCTCAGACTATCACTCAGATCCCTCAGAATCCCCCCAAATTCTCCTGTTTGCAGGTTCTCTCCATTTGTCACCTGCGAGCTCGAGGGATTTATTCCCTAATCCGTCATTCAAAACGACAGTTAAAACTTTGCATCGTCCCAGAGCCAAGACAAGCCACAGATGACCCTTTTTAATGGATCATTCCAGCCTGACAGCAAATTGTCCATGGTTATTTTGCTCGTGATTTTTAGCTACACTGTGTTTTCTTAGTTTTCCTTTCAAGCCCATCACGTGTCACGGTGCCAAAAGCTTTATTAATGCTGAGCTGTGTGACAGGTACCACTTTTACCTTAAATACACATTTTGTTATCTTGTCACAGGTGGGAATAACACCCATCTGTCACTAAATTCCTGCTGCTCGCCCCCCATCTCCTTGGTAGCCCTCACACCACTGCAAATTGCTTGGTGACCTTTTTTCAGGGCTTTTTTTCCCAATACTGAGCTCTGTGTGTCCCCAGAGTGTCCCCAGCCCCCTTTTTATTGATGGATGCTGCATTTCTTCATGGAAAAGGTTGTTAAGCACTGGAAGGGGCTGCCCAGGGAGGCCTGGAGTCCTCATCCCTGGAGGTGTCCAAGGAAGGCCTGGACGTGGCACTCAGTGCTCTGGGCTGGGGGACAAGGTGGGGATGGGCCAAAGGTTGGACTTGATGACCGTGGAGGTCTTTTCCAACCTAAATTCTGTGAGCCTGTGATTTGTTGTCACGAACACCCAGATTTCCCTGCTGTGAAGAAACAGGAGCTGGAGGAACAGGCTGGGCTTGGTATCTCCAAGGAATCCACAGATTCTTTCTCCCAGTGCCTCCTCCTGGATACCACTTGGGCAGACATCCATCCCTCAGTCACGTGTGTATTCATAGGGAAAACATCACTTTTCTTTGCTTTTGATGTGTTAATTAATTCATCTCATTAATATATCTGGCAGCAAAATGGTTCTTGCTCTTCTGTTGGATGTGGTTGGTGCCTCCCCACTCGTCTTCCCTTTAACTCCGCAAATATTCCAAGCTGGAAGCACAAACACATCTCCTGGCTCTGGATGTGGCACCTTCAAGTATCACCTGGGTGTCTTCTCCCACCAGGCACAGCCCAGCCTGGAGAGCACCACCAACCAAACCTCACAGTGCAGCTTCACTGGAAAAGGCAGATGTGACAGATTTTGGATTTTTTTCCATGGGGGAAGAGAAGAATTGGCTGTTTGTGCCTAAAGTTCTGAGCCAAGAGAAGCCCTGATCTTCTTCTTCCAGCTCAGGGAAGGCAGGTACCAGTGTGGAAAAGGAGCTGTGACCTTCTCATTAGCCCATTTCTCACCTCCAGCCAAGAAGGAGGTCCCTCTTCCTTCTTTATCTGAAAGACTTCCAGGGATTTTCCACTCAAAGCACCAGCTCTGACAAAATCCATTCCTAAATCCCACCCCCAATGCTCCCTTTTCAGACACCTTCTGCTCCCACAACTGTGAGGAGCAGGAACCTGTTCCTGTTCCTGTTCACTCCAGGAACCAGGTAAATCCTTTTAAATTCAGTCCCTTCACCTCCACAGGATCAAAGAGTTTAATCCCGGTGCTTCGGCATCCAGAAATTTCCAGACAAGAAACTCCTCTAAAGTTGTGGACAAGGAGATCCAGGAACCACTTTTTCCACTTGATCTTGTGGGAGGCAACATCCCTGTGGGTGCCATCAGTACTGAAACCAGTGTGGGGAAGAGGAAGGGAAGAGCTGGGAAGGCAACAAGGCTCTGCAAAGGATCTGGAGGAGGTTTGTCCTCTCCCCTTTGCTCTGCTTGTCCTGGTTGCCCCCACCCCACCACCCTCAGTGGAATTATCTCACCCCTTGACTTGTTCCCTCCCCTCCAGTTGGTCTCCCCCACCAGGTCTTTGCTTTCTCACATCCAGTGCAACTGGTTGAGACATAAATTGCTCCTTCTGCTTCCTCTTTCTTGGGAAGACTCAACAGGTGGTAAAACAGTCATGGCTTTGGCTCAGAGCCCAACTTTCCTGGAGCTTTTTGAAGGCACCCGAGGTATTCCAGGGAAGAACTGGCTTCCCTCTGTGCTGGGTATCCATGGAGCACTTGCTCATGGCATGGGATGCAGCACAGCCCCTACCAGTGCTGCCAGCCCTGACCTCACCAGCTGGGCATCTCTTCCTTCTTCTTGGTATAAAAACTCTCCCACTTCTCCACCATAAATTTGCTTCCTTTTTGTGGTTGTATTTGCTGAGAGAAAATTATCAGCTGGTTCTGTTACCAAGTTCACATTTGGGCCTTTTGACATCTTGCCATCACAGCTCCCCAGTCTGCTCAGATCACAGGCTGTCAACATCTCCTAGTCCTTTCCCAACACTGTGGGGTCACCTCCTTAACTTGCTTCAATTCCATTAAACAAAATGTTTAAAATCAGGCACCAGGATTTAAAGTTCACAACAAAAAACAAGGAGCTGATGTGGCATCTTTGGCTGCTCTTGGAAAACCAGTTGCTTTGTCATCCAAGCAACATGAAATGTCTCCAAAATGCTCATCCTCCCACCAGAACACAGCAGAGTTCCAAGGCAACGCTTCAGATCTCATTTAGCCATCAAGTGCAACATCTCATCCTACAAAAAAAACCAAAACAAAACCCACCCTTCACTTGTTTGGAGCAGCTCTGGTTTCTCCCAGAGCACAGCTGAGTTAGAGATGCTGCCAGATTTCCCTTTTTTTTTGCGTGTTTTCCAGGAAAAGCGAGCTCTCAGCAGGGCTATGACCCGAGGGGCTCTGGGCTGTTTGTGTTAGGGCCTGGCTGGCTGCCCTTCTGCTTCTCTGTGACACTCCCAGGCCTCCCACAAGAGCTTTTCTGTGTCCCCTCAGCTGCAGCTCCAGCGGGGAGAGGAGGGAGCCGAGAGCCAGGAGGGCAAAGCAGAACAAAGCCCAACACAATCGGTCGTTTCTGTGCCAGGAACGTGGTTTTGTAGAAACCAGCTCACAAGCTCTAAATGACTGGGCTTGGCAACAGCTGGGAGGTTGGTTTGACCCTGGAAAAGAAGAGGGAAATAGATATGGGGATGTGTTTTCCAGCTGGCCCAGGTCCATGAAGAGGCAGCGTGAGGATAATTCTCAGCTCCGTGTTCTGCTTCTTCCCTTCCCTTCTCCCTCCCATCTTTTTACTCTCTCAGCCACCTTTCTTCTTCTCTGCCTTTCCTCTCTCAGTCACCTTTCTTCTTCTCTGCCTTTCTCCCTTTTTCTCTGCCTTTCCCCCTTTTTCCCTGCCTTTCCCCATTTTCTCACGTGGGTGATAAAGGATGGCCATTTCAAATCGTGACAAAACCCCACCAAGAGCCAAGAGGCAGAAATTGCTCCCCCATTGAGGCTGGAAAAATGTCCAAAATGCTGCCAGAAAAAAAGCTTTACCTCTTCTTCCTTGTTTATAAACTGGTGTGTGATCACCAGACTCCCTGTGAACAGAAGATCCCGATCATCCCTCTGTGGTGACAGAGCCATTCCCTGGATTTTGTCCAGGGTGGGCTGTTATTCCTCACAGTGCTTTGAAACTTAAAGACACAAAAAGATGCCTCCAAGGATCTCTTCAGAGCAATAACGATTGGAAGCCTGAACATGTCAAAAAGCTCATCTTTTACAGGTTTCCTTAGGTGAGTTGAATGTCTGGGGACACTTTGGATTCAAGCAGGCTTAGGAAATCAATAGGAGTTCAGCACCTGACTTATCCAGGCTCTCTCAAAAATCCCGAGGGGAAGCTCAGCCGCAAAACATGAATCTTTGAGAGCAGAAATTATCCCACTTTTATTTCAGCCAACAAAGCCATCACGGGGAGCTTTTCCCAACCCATCACAGTCCACGTGCAAAGATGTAGGTGACACTGGCCAGGACAGCCAGGGACATCACTCCAAAGCTGCTTTGCTTGCTGCTGGCTCCATTCACGTTGCACAAGGGTTTCTCACAGCAAGAAACCCTCTGAGAGCTTTGTTGCTGACTTGCTGCTGGACACGTCGGAGAGCACATCTTGGAGATGATGTATTTGGGCTTGTTGGGCTCTAACGGAGAAGAGAAGGGGGGAAATAAAGGAAGAGTAGGATGTAAAAATCATTGTTAAGTTGCTTTCATGGCTAAATCGGTGCTGGGGAATAAAAGAAGGGCGGGCACTAATGCTCAAGGCAAATTTCATGGAATAAATCATAGAATCATGTAATGCTTTGGGTTGAAGGGACCTTAAGGATCATCTAATTCCAACCCCCCTGCCATGAGCAGGGACACCTTCCACTACACCAGGTTGCTCAGAACAGCATCTAACACTTCCAGGGATGGGCCAGCCACAATGTCACAGAATCCTAGGACTGTTAAGGTTGGAAAAGACCTTTAAGATGATCAAGTCCAACCATGACTTGGTCCTCTGCTCAGGACCAGCATCAATCTGGCCACGTCCACCCTGCGTGTCCACCAACATGATGCTGGTCTTCCCTGGGCTCCAGGTCTCTTCTGTTCCTGAAGGAATTATCACCTATGGGTGCCTCTCAGTTCAAGCTCCCTGAAGTGATGCCCAAGCTGGGTCACTTCCCACCAGGATAGTTTTCCTACAGCACAAAACCAGGGGGAATGTTCTGCATGACCTCAGATTTGGGCTGAGAGCACCTGGTGGTCTTTGAGGGCACAGACCTGAAGGATTGTTCATGGCACAGGAAGTCAGCCATGGAGTTTTTTGCCCAAAAACCTCTAAAAACAACTCTAAGAGTGAAAAATGCACATGAACTCGACCCCCAGGCTTGAGTTCACTCCCTGGTGCTGCTCAACGTGTTTCCAGCATTTCCCACCTCCCAGCAGCAACATCAACACTGAGTGACTGCAAAAGGGAGCCACAAGGTCCATGTCTCCTAAAAGCTGGTAATCAAGGCCTATTGTTTCCATGACTGGGATGAAAGCCCATTCCTGGGGCTACTCCTCTCCAGAACAAACAAGGTGCTGCTCAGGAACGTACTTGTTCTGACATCCTTCCGCACGGTCACGCAGTATTTGTCCTCCTCTGAGCACATGGAAATGGTCAAACAGTCCTTGTTGGACTCCTGCTCTTGGCAGATGTAGCACATGAATGGATAAGCTGGGGAAAAAAAAAAAAAAACAAAACAGAGAAAGCACATTACATGGTTTGAGAACCACAAAAGCTGCTGCCCAGAGATCTCCTTTTTCCTTGCTGATGAATGTTTGTGTGTGGGTGACCGCTGATTTCTTTATCCCTTGACCCGTGGCAGTTGTGCTAAATCCTTCTCTGTCTCTTGTGTCTCAGGCTGAGGAGTGTTATTGATCTGTTTGCAATCTCTGGGAGCAGGAGATGTGAGTGGAATTTGAGGATTCGGGGGCTTTTATGCTGGAGATTATTGCCGAGCAATAAATAGCGTCTCCGTCCTGACGGCTCTGCCACGTGAGTTGCCAGTTCCTGCCCAGTGGTTTCTCCTGGGCAACACCAGGCAGGGCTTGGCAGGGAGAATTTGAGGGTGTCTGGGGTGTTTGGAGGAGGTGGACAATGCCCAGTCTCCTGCTTGTCTTTCCTGGCTCAAACACTGCTGTCACATCTCCTTTTTTGTAGTCGGACATCACTCACTGACCTGGCCTAACCTCAGTTCTAAGAAGTCTGGGGAGAGCTGCCAGATGCTCTGCCAAGCTCCTGTTGTAGTGTAAAACAGAGAATAAATGGAAAAGTCTTAACCAAAAGTCTGGTTGAAGTGGTAAAGGGAGATTTGGTGAGATAATTCATATCTGCAACTCTGGTAGAGGATTCACGTCAAGGTCACACAGCGATGAGTTGTCTTTCCTGTCAACAATTTACACACTCGCCCTCAAAGCCAGAATGGGGTAGGACAGACCGCTGGAAGGTAAAGAAAAAGAGGAGAAAGAGCAAAGACACTGTCTGGGTGAGAGAACACACCGAAGTGTCCACTGGGCAGATGGTTTGAGGGATTTGATGGCGACGGTCGAGTTCTGGGCTCACGAAATCACCCAGAGCAAAGTGTGTGGTTTTGTGGGAAGGAGACGGGATGAGCTCCTTTAAAAACACAGATAGTTTTTGAAGGGAAGCAAACACAGCACCACACGAGTTGGTGCTAAGTCTGGGGGCAGTCTGTGAGCATGGCAAGGGCAGAAAGCAAGCAGAGGACACATTCCTGGGAGAGCAGCTTTGCCCGATAAGAAGTTGGTGGCGAGAACGTGGAAGGACAACGAAGGTCAGACCATTAAACGAGAAGTTTGTGATGGACGGGAAGGAAAAAGTCCTCAATTGTTGATCCTGTAAGGGTCAGAACAATGTTTATCTTTTTTGCTTTGGTTGGCACTAAAAGTTGAATTTTCATGGGCAGAGTAGAGGACATTCAGTGAGGTTTTGCCAAATTTTTGGCACAGTCTTGAGTGATGTTTTGAGGAAGACCGGGAAAGACAAGGCAGTGAAAATGCCTCAGAATGGGTGCAAAGCCAGGCATGGAAACTCTCTCACAGGGTAGTTCATAATGATCAGTGGTCAAACCAACTGGAGCAATGCAGCTCCAAAGCTCTGCTGTGGGCTCAGGTCTGTCCAGCATCATCCCTGGTGACAGAAGGGATGGGATGGAGGATGAACATCATGTTTTCAGATGGTGCCAAGGACAACAAAGGTGAGAAGACACTGTGGGTAGAGTTCTGTAAGTGCTGGAAGCAGAGCCAAGGAATCTTGGGCAGCATCCAAAGCAGTGTGGGCAGCAGGGCAAGGTAGGGGATTCTGCCCCTCCAACCCCCTCTAAGGTGAGACCCCTCCTGCAGAGCTTCCTCCAGCCCTGGGGAACATCACAGGAAGGACATGGAGCTGCTGGAGAGAGTCCAGAGGAGGCACCAGGATGATCAGAGGGATGGAGCAGCTCTGCTGGGAGGAAAGGCTGGGAGAGGTGGGTTTGTTCAGCCTGGAGAAGTAAAGATTTCAGGGTGACCTGATTGTGGCCTTCCTGCACCTGAAGGAGCTACAAGAAACATGGAGAAACAAGTGACAGGACAAGGGGGAATGGCTTCAAAATAAGAATAGGTTTAGATTGGATATTAGGAAGAAATTCTTTACTGTGAGGGTGGGGAGGCCCTGGCACAGGTTGCCCAGAGAAGCTGTGGCTGCCCCATCCCTGGAAGTGTCCAAGGCCAGGCTGGGAAGGACTTGGAGCAACCTGGTCTGGGGGAAAGTGTCCCTGCCCATGGCAGGGGCATTGGAATGACATGATCTTTAAGGTCCCTTCCAATCCAGGCCATTCTGTGATTCTGTGACTCTATGATCCCATAATTCCAAGATTCTATGATTCCAACTGATTTTGACAGATGGATGTAATAAAAGAGCAGAGAAAAAAAGGCAACAAACATTGAATGAAGTTCAACAAAGACAAATAAATCACACTTGGATAAAAATTAGACACTTGAACGTCGGATGGCGAACAAGTGGTTCGGCGATGATCAAGAACCACAGTGCAAACAGCAGGAGTCAACAGTGTCACATTCCAGGGATGGAAGGGAACACAGGCACAATGTCATGTGCAAGATATGCAAAGTGGCCTTTCCACCCTGGCAAAGCCTCAGCTGGAACACCAGCGACCGAACCCGGTGCCCAAATCTGTCTGCGGCACTTCAAAAACTATGCAGGGCATTTGGAGAGATCCCAGAGGAGAGGGAGGAGAAAGGGTCTGACTGGAGTTTTGGAAATGTGACCTCGTGGAAAAGGTTGGAAGCCTTTAGAGTGTTTATTAGAAATGAGAATATGTTGAGGAAAGGCACAATAACCACCTTCCTGCAAGGAAAAAGGAAGCAGCGGAGGAGAAAATAATAAACTGGTTTATACGTCCTGTGGTGAAAACACAGGAGATCTGCACAAAAAGGGATGCTAAGGGATATTAAGATTCCTAAAAGTCTGAGCAATTCCAGGCCATGAAATCTTCCTTGCTGGAAACTTTCAAAGATACTTTAAACAAACATCTGCCTGGTTTTGTCCGACAGCAAGGACTCGATGATCTTGGAGGTCTTTTCCAACCTTAAGGATTCTGTGATTCTGTGGGAAGGATCGTGACCTTTTAAGATTTCTTCTGGACACAGTTTAACTGTAACAGTGAGTTTATAGCTGGAAAAGGCAACAGACCCTCTTTGGTGGGCTGAAAGATCGACAGTTTTGATCAAAAGTTGGTTATTGGGATCTTGGATGGGACCCCAGAGAAGTATCAAACAAGTTACCTCCAGGTTTTCTGTTGTCCCTCTTTTAGGCCAGAAAGCTGCAACCTCTTATTCTCAATCTACACTGGGCTAGAAAGGTGTAAAAGCCTGTCCTTAAATCCATTTGGAATCTGATGACAATATAAAACATCATCAACCCTACACCAGTAAGGAATCCCCCCAGGAATGTGTGCTTCCAGAGCCTGGCATCCCTGAGCTTTCTGTTTTATCCTGGCTCACACTGAGGATGTTGCTTTGAAAATTACCCTCTTCTGTCCATTCTGTAGTTTCATTCAGGAATTAGGGGCACAAAATCCTTTCTTTTTTTGTAATAATAAATAGTCCTTTTCCCACTCCAAAACCAGCCAGAGCTCCCACTCTTCCAGGAGCGCTTCAAAACCATCCATCCCAAAAACGTGGGAGTGAGGGGGTTGATGCATCAGAGAGCAGGAATTAATGAGGTGCCTCTTTCTCAAGGCCTGCTAGATATGTATCGTGGTTTCTGGGAAACCATCAGGTGTGGGGCAGATATTGGCAATCTGGTCATTATTCCTACGTGCCAGGAGCAATGGAGCAACACATGGACGAGTCCCAGAAGGAGGTGCATTCCCAGCACCTCAGACTTCCCTTTGGGAGAAGGATGCCTTTAACATGACACGGGCACAGAGAAGTTCTTTCAGCTCTGCCTCTGATTTAATCTATAAAATTCCCAGTGTTGCACTTCCTAGGGTGGAAGACACCTGGCAAACCACGTGGATCGCCACAGTGGAGGAAGCAGCAGTAGAGAAAAGTCTCTAAAAGTACCCAAAAACCGGTATTCATTTAAAAAATTACAGGTTTTTAGGCTTTCTGGCACTTCCAGCTTGCAGCTTTTGGGAAGATCCCGTAGACCACTGAGTGGATTTAACCTGGCATCCAAAGAAGATTAATTTATCAAGACCTTATTTCTGCATCAAGTTGGAGCACAGAAGGTGCTCAAATCAATCAAGGTGCCAAAGGACGTTGGTGACAACAAAACTGGGGACAACCCTCTAAATTTTTTGCCACCTGAAAAATTTGCCCTCCCCTTCTCCCTGCCCCTGATCTTAGTCAGAAGCAGCAGCTGAGGCTCACCTTGTTGCACGCACAGGACAGCAGCCAGCAGGGTGACGAGAGGAGTCCTCATCTCCAGCAGATGCTCCCAGCTGCACTGGGAAGGTGTTTGGAGGGCAGGTTTTATACCTCTGCAACAGCAGTTTTACAGGTTCCCACAGGTGGACACAGACTCAGCCCACGGGCGGGGGATGTTTCACGTGGGAGTTTTCCAGGCTGGAGCTCTCGGAAGCTTTTAAGAGTTCTTCCGGACACAGTTTAACTGTAACAGCGAATTTATAGCTGGAAAAGGCAACAGACCCTCTTTGGTGGGCTGAAAGATCAACAGTTTTGATCAAAAGTTGGTTATTGGGATCTTGGATGGGACCCCAGATACATGAGAGGGATCAAATAAGTTACCTCCATGTTTTCTGTTGTCCCTCTTTTAGGCCAGAAAGCTGCAACCTCTTATTCTTGATTTACACCAGGCTAGAAAGGTGTAAAAGCCTGTCCTTAAATCCGTTTGGAATGTGATGACAATATGTGATAGTTTATACGTCCTGTGGTGAAAACATGGGAGATCTGTACAAAAAGGGATGCTAAGGGATATTAAGATTAAATTCCTAAAAGTCTGAGCAATTCCAGGCTGCGGCACCTCAGGGGAGGAAAAACCCTTTTGGTGACACATTTCTTGCCCTTCTGGTCTTGGGAGCGATGGGAAATTGGGATCTGCTCTTTTCTCCTCGGAGTTTCTCGCTTTGCTCGCTGCTCTGATGCAGCAACAGAGCCTGGAGGCACAGAGATACAGTCCTAGCCATGACTTTTTCCAAGCCCTTTGGATAGTGATGGATCAGGGTTTGTACCATTCCTTTCCCTTAATTATTCACCAGCACCGGCCTCAGGCTCTCAGCTGGCTTACCTCAAATAAAATCAGTATGTTTTACAGCACCTCAAATAAAATCAGTGTGGTTTACAGCACATTAAATTAGCTAATGGTTAGTTAAACAGAAGATTTGCCTCCAATTTCCATGTCACTCTTCATTCCTTTATCAATTCCCCTCCCGTTAATCCCTCTTCTCTCTCTCGTAATCCTCAAATACCCCGGGCACTTGTTATTTAATCAAGTCTTGCTCCTCTTCCAAGGATCCTTCAGAGGAGCTGATTTTCTCCAACAGAAAGCCAACAGTTTCTCGAAATTAGACTTCCATTTCTGAAACCACAAATTGGCTCCCCGGAGTTGCAGCTCTGCTCTGCAAAGAGCCATCTCTCAAACTGTCTCTTTTTCAATCTCTCTCCTCTCAAATCAACCCTTTTCTTTTATTCCTCTGTGTTGCTCCTCTCCTCTGAATTTCTTAAAATCTGTTTCTGACAGTCTGGGAAAGAGGACCCTGATACAAGATGCATCATGAGTTGCCATCCCAACAGAGCTTCTTCCAAAATAAAATCACTCCTGGACAGCAGGCAGAGCAGAAAGTGCGAAAGAAAATATTGTCAAACTCTCCTTTTTTGGGCAATTATGGAATAACTTCAGAAATTCCCTGGATGCAGCCACCAGGAGGGTATTTTTATCCATCTCTAATATGAATCATCCCAACACTGGATGATTTCCTTATCCATGTGAGTGTCTGAGTCCTGATCTGCTCCCGGAATGGCGTCATCAGGGGGTGAATTCCAGGGTTGTTCAAGCCTGATGTCAAACTGGACATTCCCACTCTGGGGTTTGGAGGCTGGTGAGGTCAACAAGGACTTGGTGATGATCAAATCCAGCCTCGTGCTCCTCAGAGGGCAACTTTATAACCGAGGGTGTCATAAACAGGTTTTCCTTCTTAATTAGTGGGTGTGGCTTCTTGATGGGATTTTGCAGTGAGGGTACAAGGAACAAATCATTTCCCCCTTATTTTTGGTCCTGTTTTATCCCATAGACTCATGATAGCTTTCAGAGAATCATAGGCTGGGTTGGTTTGAAAGGGACCTTCAAGATCATCTCATCCACCTCCCACTAGACCAGGTTGCTCCAAGGCCTGTCCAAGCTGGCCTTGAAATGTCTTTTTGAGTTTCCCAACATCCATTTTATTCCTGCATGATCTTTCCTGCAATAGGATCGAGTCAGCTTTGAAGGAGTGGTTAAAACTCCCCCAGTGCATCCAAGGGGAGAAATTTGGGTTGGAAATGAGCTTTTCTGTGTCAAGAATTTGTCTGGGAGCCGTTTCCAGGACATTAATGTCTTTCTTGGTGTCCTAACACTGGGATATTCCCTCTTCCCGGTGTCTAGAGAGTGGGAAGAGAGATTTCTTTCTCAAAGAGGACTGATTATGAACCACAAAAGCATCACTGAAGGATCTAGAAAGGATCTTGCAGGCACACCAGGGCCACCAAGTGAGGAGCAAGATTGAGGAAGACTGGAAACAAAAAAACCCCCAAGGATTCTGAGTCACCTCTGTAGAGTCATCTCATCTCATCCATTTGGGAAAATTAAAATGGACCTGAAATTGGAGCCATGAGCTGGCAATGGACCTTAAATTGGAGCCATCACTTGGCTGTGTGACAGCAGAGCAGCAGTAAATTTTGGAGAAGGGTTGCTTTTGTCCCTTTCCATGGCTTCCAGAAGCTTTTTTAGGCCTTGCTTTGATCTTTTGCATCCATCTCATCTCCTGCTTTGTCTATGAGTTGCCAGGTGTTGGTTGGATCTATGCAGATAAATGGGGAAAAGGGGGAGAAATTTCATGTTGTGAGGGGAAAGACACCCAAATTATTCAAGGAGAGCAGAAGGCAGCACAGATCCTTCAAAACCAACGGTGATAAAACCCCGAGTGAAGGAGAGGAAGGACCAAAGTTAAAGCACCTCCTAATTTAGGCAGAGCGAGGCCTCCTTGGCTGATCCAGGTCCTGACTCAGAGCCCTGAAAATCGAGCTCTTATATAATCCACAGGGAGAGGGAGGCAGTTCCCTCCCAGGAGCAACCCCAGGTATTTGAATGAGACTCCCATCTCCTTCCCAAGAGCCCTCCAGGCATCCCAGGTGGCTGTGCTGGGCAGCTCGACACTCCCATGCCAGGAGGATGAAGCCACGGGATCCAACGGAAAGCCTGGGTGGAGGGATGTGGGATTAGGAACCAGCCCCTGAGAGGGAGGTTTCACCTCAGGATTTCTCAGGGAGGTTGGCAGAGAGTCTCCTCTTACCCAGCCCTCCCAGGGAGGGGTCTCTAAGGGAGCTTTCATGTTTTTTAGGACCTCCTGTGCCTCAGGGCAGCTGAGCTCCCACCTCCAGACAAGGCCCTCGAGACGTGGGTCAGCTTTGGCCCCACACATGTGGGGTCGTGTTGCTGGGCAGTAGGGAGTGGAATCTGTGGGATCAGGGAGAAATCAGGCAAGAAGCAGGTTGTGTCCCACATGCCTCCATCCCTTTGACCATGACAGGTTCCTTCCCAACCCAAAACAGAAGCACCTGCCAAGTTCACGCACCACAAAACACGATTTATTTTAAACCTGCTTGCCAAGAGCTGGCCTGAACTCAGAAGCTCAGCACAACGAGACCTGGGGCCTTAATAACCCCATCTTGCCCTTTCCCAGTCCCTAAGGAATCCTAAACCCATGGATAGCAAAGGCTGAGGATTATTCCAAATAGTTCAGCTGTTGCCACGCTGTGATCTGTGTGTGGGGCAGAATTTGGCCACCCAAGGGCCACAGAACAGCTCTTGGCTCGTGTGGGGTGTTCACATCTGCCTGTCACTTGAATATCTCTAAATGTGGCAGGAGGGGAAGAAAAGGGAAGAGGGTAAATCTGACAGAAGGGTGGAACCAGCTCAGCTGGGGGATGATAAAAACCACAAGGAGAAGGAAGAGTCTCGGGGCTAAAGATGGAGTATTCTCGGCCAACCTTGGATTTCCACCGAGGAGAAAACACTGAGCTGAGGCTGTAGCAAGAAAATAGAGGTTGGGTGGAAAAAATAGGACTAAGACTGGATGAAGAAGCCAAAGAGGAAATCTAGGAGAGAAAACAGCCAGGAGTGCAGAGCTGGAGGTGGGATATGGATGGGAGGAAGTGGTGAGAGCAGGTGGGGGTGAGCTGGTCTTGAGGTCAAGTTTCCTTTGAAAACCTGTTCAAAATAACAAAGATGTGGCTGTTTCTGAGCAAATGCCCATCAGAGGGAGCAGAACATGCAGCTGCTCTCCCTGTGACACGAGTCTACAGAGGGAAAACCAGCTGGGTCAGCTGCAGCCAACGAATTATCCTGGGAGATCTTCCTTGGAGTGATCCCTGGGAAGAGCTGCCTCAGGAGAAAGCAACTCATCCTCCCCTGGCTCCCTTTGGAAGGGTTTGAGTGAGGAAATCTCTCATTCCCAAGATTATCCACAGGGAAGGGCAGGGCAGGGTGATGAATCCCTTCCATTTTACCCACGCTGGGACACCTGACTGGCAAACCTAAAAAATTCATTTTCCAAATTCATATTTTGTCGCAGATGAGGCTGGAATTTCCAGGCTCCAGCGGAGACACATCTGGCTTTCCTGATGATTTGCCTTTAAGCACCATGCAAGATGCTTTTCTCCCCTTTCAGGATAATCCTTAATGCCTATAAAGCAATTTCCACTGGAAGATCTTCCATCAGTTTAAAGAAAACTTAATGCTCGAGGTCCCTTCCTGTGGAATCCTGCCCTGTCCCCTCTGTTTGCTGGGGAGCCCAACTTCCCTTCAGGCAGCTGACCCAGAAGAGGAACTGAAAGCAAGTTAAATAGAGTTTATTCTGAAACAGAGTCACAAAAATGACATTTCTGCCAATGCAGAAAAATAAAATCTGGGGAGGGGCTTTCTGAAGCGAATGCAAAGCAATTTGAGTATATTCCAGCATTATTCCCTTCCACTTGCAGCCTCCACTTTTATTCCTGCTGCCATGGATGCATCCAGCAGCTCCTCCCCACGTCCCACACCACGCAGCCACGCGAGAGGATAAAATAACACTTTATTGTGCCCAGTTGCTGCTTAACAACCCTGATATTAAAGGGCTTCCTCGGAGCAAAATGATGCGGGGCAAAAAGTGGTATAAAGAGAAAAAAACGGCACGAGGGACAAAACGAAGGGAAAAAACTCCACTGATT